AATATCAATTCCAATATGTCGGCCCCTGCCATCACAGTTTTTAAGGCTAAAGTCACCTTAACGAAATTTGCTGAACCATCGTTGACACTTACGAACGTTCAGAGCATTTCCTTAAACTTCTTTGATATTATTTGTGGCTACAAAAGCGCTGTTTCCACTCTTGTATTCAAACAGAATTACATGCCGAATGTGTGTTTTGTCGTGTGCCATCACTATAAAGGATGAAATAATACTCAACTTTACACATTATATAGACTACAGCAACGTGACGTTCAGGTGGTTCGTTTAACTGTTATACATGATGTACGTTTTTTTTAGGGGAGGGGGTAATGAAAGTGTTCCAAAACACGACATTAATTTCTTGACGACCTAATACAATTTGAGTGTTAATGGTTTTCATTTATGCTTACTGTTGGGTCTACTTTGCAACTATTTGTTGCTTTGTGTATGATGTTTAAGTTGTCTTTTACGTACAATAGTAAACCTGTATTTATATTTAAACAATATTTAGCAATGGTGCTACCAGTTAATTTTTTGAAATGATTCAGGGACCAAGCTGTTTAAGATAAAGCGTTTTGTTCTCTCTTTGTTGTCTACGTAAATTATGAATTTTGAAGATCAAGTAACGAGAAGTTAATCAATCGTTCTGTCCAGCACTTGTCGCCGAGTTTGGCTAGAAACTATGGACAAGAAAATAAATCATAAGAAAAAAAAAGTTTTTTCTTGTCCAGTGTTACGTATAAAGAATGAAATTTCCCGAAACCAGTCTCAATCAGTAACGTAGCAAACTGAATGACACACTAGATATCACGTGTGTTGATTTATAAATACAAGCTGGATGTATGGGTAGATAGATCGTTAGTTTATGGGTTGATTGGTTGGTTTAAAAGTAAGTAGATAGACTAAGAAACTTACCGTCGTTGGAAACGTACGACGGGATCTTCAAGCAGATCACTGCAATCAACAGTCTTTCCCTTTTTGATAACATTCGGATGTTTCCTTCTCATTAACCACCCCATGTGAGCAAAGAATAATCCACGGTTAATGTCATGAGGGTCGGCATTAGTTTCCGAAAACTTGTGATGAACCCGATGATCACGTGACCATTCATAGATGTCGTTCTAATAAATGAGTAATAATCAAATCATTTTGTATCTGTTTATTAAGACGATTACGAAATAAAATTCGATATTTATGCAACAAGTAACATTTCTATAATGCATCAAAATCCTCTTTAGGTTAATAGAAATGAGGAATGGAAGTATTTTATTCAAAATGTTGTAGATTAATAGTATATTACAACAATAAATATTAAATCAGATGACTTGCAGGGAATCGTATTTTTATTTACCATACCTGACCAGCCAAGGAGAATAAAAGCATCAAGAAAATTCTAAGTGGAAGCTTCGCACTGTAAGCTTTGTGAGACCAAAGCCTATGGGCACCAGCTGTTGTTCCAAGACAGGACAAGAAACATGACACAACAGCTGCAAAAGTAAATCACATATCAACAGTGAAGAATGTTTTTTTAATTTAACTAAAATATGTTTAAACAAACATTCATTATTTATTTCTACAATTTATTCAACTTCTATTTCAAAAGTGCAAGCGAATGTTTGACTTGCCTTTGTTGGATTTAAAATATCAGTTAATTCTTAAACACATTCATTTTCTTTAATTAAATATAGAAATAAATACCAATCGGAAATAATGAGTTAAAATATTTTAAAACTCAGCAGATGATGTACCTTTCAGTCATTCAGGGTAATGTTAATTAAAAGTGAAGAGAGAGTAAACAAATGAATTAATATTTAATATGTAAAGTTTAGTTATTTTGACAAGCGAAGTGGGATTTTCTGAAACTTTGGTTCTAGTATAGCTAAAGAGATGGCAGCACTAACAGCATGGTCAGCGAGTCCTACCATTTATAGTCTATCTTCTATAGCTGTCAAGAGTGAACAATATTATATATTATACACATAAACAAATAGCGAAAAGATGGCAGTTCTGTCTGCTCTAGTATCTTTAATTTTACTATTACCCAAGCGAATATAATTTAACTGTGTGGTTAACTTTGCATAAGTATGTATGATGCAATAATTTAGAGGAAGATATAAAGGAAACTCACTCTAAATTGCCCTTGGCAAGTGACTAGCTTACGTATAACGTATTAGAATTTCGAATAGTCCGAAGCCGAGTCCACTGATAATTTAAATTTAGTAGTTAAGTTGTACTTTGGATTTAGTATTTAAATATATGTCGATATTTTAGTCAATTTACGATATTTGCCAACAAGACTGATACACACCGTCTTCGTTTTTAACACAAATACGTTTTAATATTCACATAACAATACCATTTACAGAAAC